CCACGGTGGCGGCGGCGGCGGCGACCTCGGGGCCGCTCAGACGAGGATTCCGAAGCGGGAGGCCAATGCCCAACAGCGACGACGACGACGACGACGATGCCACAAGCCTCCAAAAAGCCCCAGGAAACCCCAAAGGCCGCCGTCCCTGGAGGTTCCCACATGCCCAAATCCGAGAAACAGCCACAGAGGACTACGGCGGCGGCGGAACCGGCGACGGCGACGGCAACCACGACGCACATCCCTCCAAACAGTGCCCCCCCGGCCTGCCGTGGGGGCGCTCCGACCAAACAGTCGAGGCGCATCCAACCGTGGCGACGACAAGGCACAGAGAAAACAAAACATGTCTGAGAGCAACTCCAACAAGGACCCTCGGCCCTCGGACCACGACCCTCGACGACAATTGGCGACGTGTGGTGGATTCCGAAGTCGCTACGGGACTCTGGCGGTCCCCAGAGAGCCCCTGGAGGCCCCCCATAAAGAGATTCCCAAACGACCAGCAAATTCCAAAACCGTGACCCTCGAATCTCGGTCCTCCACCGTCGGCGACGAATGCGACAGCGACGGCGACGGCAGCGGCGGCGACGTCGTTGACGCAGGCGACGGCGTCGACGACGTTGGTGACGACGGCGGCGACGGCGTTCTTATCGTTGACATTGACATTGACATTGACGGCGACGACGACGACGACGGCGGCGGCGGCGGCGGCGGCGATAGGGGTGGGCGGGGCGGGCGGGCGGGCGGGCGGGAGGGAGGGAGGGCGGGCGAACAGCGGCAGGCGGCAAGCGGCGGCGGCGGCGACGAAAACCATGGCGGCGGCGACGACGGCGGCGACGACGACCGACGACGGCGGTGGCGACGACGACGGCGACGACGACGACGACGACAACGGCGGCGACCTGAGCCACCAGCGGCGGACATCGCTGCCGGGGGCGGCGCCCGCGCAAGCGGCGACGCGCCGCCCCCGCGCGCGGGCCGGGCAGCGGGCGAGACCCAGGGGAAAGGAGCGGGGAGAGGGAGCGGGGAGAGGGAGGGGAGGGGAGGGACAGGGGGAGGGGGAGAGGTAAAGGGGGAGGGGAGGGGAGGGACAGGGGGAGGAGGGGAGGGGAGGGGAGGGACAGGGGGAGGGAAGGGACAGGGGGATGGGGAGGGACAGGGGGAGGAGGGGAGGGACAGAGGGACAGGGACAGGGGGAGGGACAGGGGGAGAGGGAGGGGTGGGGGAAGTGGGAGGAGTGAGAGGGTGGGTGAGGAGAAAATCCCATGTTCTTACTATTCGCGATGACGCACGTGACCGGCCCCGCCCCCCCTCCCGTGTGCTCACGTCGCGATTCGTGCCAGCGCCGTATAAGAGTCTAGAATGGGCCATTCTTAGGCATCCCCCGACGGCGCCTGCGCGAATGGACCCCCTCGCCCCCGACCCCTGGTCACGTCCATTATCGCCCAGGGAACCGAAAGAAGTATCTCGAGGGGGCGGGGATGGTGGAGGAGAGGGCGGGAGGCAAACCATGAGCGCTCGCGCTCGTGCTCAAACGATTCCGTTGTTCCTCGTCGGTCGCCGTGTACAAGCCGCGCGGGAACCCACGAAACAGAAATTCAAGCTTCGGCAAATGCTCTACTGACCCCACCCTACCAACAGTACGGAAGCACAGAGGGCTCAACCGAGCGCCCTTCTACCAACCGTTGCCTGGCAGCAGACAAATTATGGAACAATGCCTCATGGGTGTTGCTGCTCGCCCGACACAGTCACTGGTAGTAACACTCACGCGTGTGCTCAACTTTCAAATTGTCACTGGTTGCGGTTGCCCGCAAAACTTGGCAATCCGATGGCTTAGTCGCCCTGGTCGCCCTTCATGTGGGTGAGGCTGCAGTGCTTGGGGCAGGATTGAGGGCAATGCAAAAAACGGCTACGCGAACGCAGGTACCAAATGCAATAACACAATTGCGCAACTTTACCCTGCAAACGTGCGCAAACACCAACCTGGTACACACATGAGCAGAGTCTGCATACCGCTCCCCCCCCCTCCTGGGGTGGTAGTCCAGAAATGGGATTGAGCACCCTCCCGATCGACCCCAAGCGGAGAGGCTGGAGGACGACGATCACAACAGGAGGATGCGGCGGGGGAGGGAGGGCAGGGAGCGAGGGAGGGAGGGCAGGGAGGGAGGACCCGGCGTCCCGATCATGGGGCTCGGCGCGCGCGATTCTGCGGGGGGCAGCGGCGCCCTGCGCGCGACGGCGGAGAGAGAAGACCCGACCTCGTGGGCTGCTCGACGGGCCAAACATCCGGTGCCCAGCTCGGAGAGCTGCGATGGATGGGGGGGGGGGGGGTCCGTCCTCGAGAGGGGGGCGTCAGGGCAGCCGCCCTGGGGGCGCATCCCCGAATTTCCCCCCCCTGCTCTGAGCCGCCCAGCCTTCCGGGCGGAAGCCGAGGACTGGGTGCGAGAAAAGTCGTCAGCAGAGCCTCCTCCTCCTCCTCCTCCTCCTCCTCCTCCTCCTCCTCCTCCTCCTCCGTGGGGAAAACGTAGGACGAGGGCAGGTGCAGGTGCAGGTGCAGGTCCGATCGCGCGAGGGGGCCGCGCGCGCCCCATGAGGGGAGGCGGCGACGGAGAGCATGCAGGGAGACGCGCCCCTCGGAGACATGCCAACTGCAGGCAGGCTGCTGCAGAGTCACAACATCCACGAGCTCGCCTCGCCCTCGAAACCTGCCGAGCAGGTCGAACGCTCGTGTGCCACGAAATGCGTATGATAGCGACGTGGCGTGCTTGCTACTCAGACACTTTTTCACGCTATCTGTCCACCTTGTCCTCGGGCGTCCCCGGGACCACCTGCCTGACAGAGAGATCTATTAATCACCGTCTTCGGCCACGCTATATCAAAGGCAAGAACGGGACATAATCGCACCGGGACAGATCGGGGATCTCTGAGGCGGAAAAGCCGCGATCGTTCCGTAGCGCTCCGAGACGCTCTCGAACGATGTAATCCTGGTCCTAAAGACTGATTCGCCCCTCTCGCTACGACTTCCCGCCAGGAGAACGGTAGAGGACGTACAACTCAGGGAGCGAAGGGGGTCGACCTCCAAGGTCCTGGCCAGACAACGGAAGGGGGGCGGAAATCGGTTAGGTTAGGCCGAGCGGGAATCGGCGGTGGTTCCCCGACAGCGAATCCGAACGATACTTGGCCCGCTGGGCTGCTTGGGCCGCCCATCTCGGCGACGAGCGGGCGCCAGTCTGCAGAGACCGGTGCCCTCCTCTTCCTGAGCCTGGTGCCCCCGCGTCGCTGCCTCGGATCCCTCTTGCTTCTGCACGTGCCAGGGGGGGGCGTGCCGATGCGCCTGCCCGCCTGCTCTCGCAGCCCTCCTCCTCCTCCTCCTCCCTCCTCCCTCCTCCTGCTCCTCCTGCTCCTCCTGCTCCTCCTCCTCCTCCTCCTCGATCCTCCTCGATCCTCCTCCTCCTCCTCGATCCTCCTCCTCCTCCTCTTCCTTCTCCTCGATCCTCCTGCTCCTCCTCCTCCTCCTCCTCCTCCTCCTCCTCCTCCTCGATCCTGCTCCGCCTCCTCCTCCTCCTCTCCTCCCTCCCTCCTCCCTCCCTCCTCCTCCTCCTCTCCTCCTCCTCCTCCTCTCTCCTCCTCCCTCCTCCTCCTCCTCCTCCTCCTCCTCCTCCCTCCTCCTCCTCTCGTTCTCCTCCTCCTTCTCCTCCTCTTCCTCCTCCTCCTCCTCCTCCTCGTCCTCCTCCTCCTCCTCCTCCCGGGTGAGGACTTGGCTTGAAGCTATGGCGGTTGCGCATGCTGCCGCTCGCCGAGGGGTTTGGGAGATCGGCGGTCGCAGCAGTAGGCTGGGCGTGCACGAACGCAACACCCTTTCCAGTAGGGGCCCGACCACAAGAAACCTTACACAAGAAACCCAGCCCTGAGACCAGGACATCCATCGATTCGTGGCGTGGGAACGTCGCTCTTCCCATGTCGAAACCATCGAAACCCAAGAAACCCAGGGCACCCTGGAGGCAAGCAAGGCGTTTTTTTGGCGGCATGGGCCTCCAGTGTAGCTCTGACCGTCTCAGTTCTGCAAGCCCGAAACACATTGTGTTGTCCACCAGAGCGAGGTTGTTGGGAAACATTCAGGGGACTGGCACGCAAATCCGCAACGCACTTGTTGCCATCGTCCGGCAGGTAAGGAATCGATGTCATCCACGACTCTGCCAATACAAGAACACGCCGCCGTGACATCGCCAGCAATGTACGAGCTGTCGGCAATGATTATTACATCATGTCACCGCCGCCCCTGCGATATTGGCGTCAACAATGGTTTGGATATCTTGCGTAGGTCTCAAGCATGTCAGGGCGGGTAAGATGCGGCAGAAGAGTATGGCTGGTTCACGTTGCGATGACGTGGGCGTTGTTTTCTGACACCGCCTGGGTCGCGCAACCTTGAGCGAGTGCTGTTCGTCCGAGAACAGATCGTTCAGTATCACCCGATTCCAAGCCACAAACGACGCTTAATCTTGAACGCCCACACTGAGGTCGCCGCCGCGTCAACCGCGGAGCGAACCTGCGGTACGGAAAGCAAAAATCGGGAACACAGAATCACGGAGCTGGGGAGACGCAAGACTCGAACTTGGAGGGGACAGGATGGCTTTTCGATCGACCGATCAATCTACCTTGGCCACTTCTGGGCCGCTGGCGGCGTTCAACCTCGAACGCACGCGGCGGGGTCGACGCCGCCTCCACTCGACGCGAACCTGCACACACAAATTTGAGCAGGGACCGACCGTCCCGGCATTCCTCCAGGCCTACCACGACATGCCGTTTGAAACCAAAAATGTTCAGAACATAAACCAGATGCGTCCAAACAAGACAGTCTCGGCCAGAAATGTCCCGATAACATTTCGTGCAGACCACAAAAGGTTCTCAGCACATTCCTTGGTGGGCTTACAGGCGAGCCAGGACTCTTCGCCACTGCTTGACGCACGCCTCCCCGAGAGAAAGACGCGCGCCGCTGTGCCAAATTTCTGGCGCCCTGCCGCCGCCGGCCGCGCCCGCGGGCCTCTTCCTCGCCGCCGGCCGCGCGGGCGAGCTGCGCTGCCCCGGGTTGGTGCGGCGGGGTCCTGCAGACAAGGTTCAGAACTGCAAACATGTTGTTTTCGTCGGCGGCGAGGCGGCGAACTCCGCTCCAGCGAGAAGCTAGGAAGGAGCACGAACTAGCGAATTGGCCGGCGGGCGAAGAGAGGGAAAGGACGGCCGAGAGGAAGAAGGAAGGGACGCTCAGACGCCGAAGAGTTCGACGATGAGCAGCCGGGGGGGCAGACAGAACTGCAAACACCAGAACAGGGGAATTGAAGCATTGCCGAAAGACAGGGCTGGACCTAAACGTCGTTTTTTTGGACCATCCTGTGGTATTGGGTCCTCGGATTGAAGAGACAGCGCCCCGCGTTCCTCCCTCCGCTCTTCCTTCTTTCCTTCCTGCCTTCCGTCCTCCTCCCCATCCTCTTCCGCATGTTCATTTCGGCACACCCCTCACAGGGTTCGTGGCCCCATAGGGAGCTCCACCGAAGGCCCCAGTGGGAGGGTTCGCATGCGCCCCCCCCGCCCAGCGCATGCTCATTCTGGCACACCCCTCACACGGCTCGTGGCACCGAAGGTCCCAGTGGCCGCGTCCGCATGCGGCCTCCCCGCCCACCGCATGCATGGCACACCCCTCACACGTTTCGTGGCCCCGTAGGGAGCTCCAGGCCCCAATGGCCGCATCCGCATGAGCCCTCCCCGCCCGCCGCAAGCCCATTTCGGCACTTCGTGGGCCCATAAGGGGGTCCACCGAAGGCCCCGGTGGCCGCGTCCGCATGCGCCCTCCTCACCCACCGCATGCCCATCCATGTCGGCACACCCCTCGCACGTTACGTGACCACATAGGGAGCTCCACCGAAGGCTCCAGTGGGACGGCTCGTATGGCACCACTGCACCCAATTCGGCACAACCCTCACACAGTTCGTGTTCCCATAGGAAGCTCCACCGAAGGCTCCAATAGGAAGGTTCGCATGACACCACCGCGCCCATTCTGGCACACCCCTCACACGGTTCGTGGCCCCATAGGGAGTTCCGCCGAAGGTTCCAGTTGGAGGGTTCGCATGGCACCACCGCGCCCAATTCGGTACAACCCCTCACACGTCTCGTGGCCCCTAATGGGAAGGTTCGCATGGCACCACCGCGCCCAATGCGGCACGCCCCTCACACGGTTCGTGGCCAAAGCGGTACCCACAGTGCGGTACTCGCAGCTGCGTATGGTTGGGTCTTTCGTCAGGCTAATTCGTATTGTTTTCGTTTTGTTGTTCATTTTGCTCGACCTGTTCTCTTGCATCTCCCTGCCAAAACGGAAAACAAAACACAGCCGAAGTCCAGTAAAACAGCGTTTAAGTCCAGCCCTGCCGAACGATTGTGCGTAGGAAGCCAGCCTACCGCTGACGGGGTGGATTTGTTGTTGTGTGCTGCAAAAGAGATGTACCCAACGCGACATGGGACGGAACAAAAGAGGGAGCCGGAATCGGAAAATTGTACCCGGAGTCGGAGAGATCATGGTCGCTGGAATCGAAACATTGGGAGCACGAGTCGGAGAGGTCGCTGGAATCGGAAAATTGGGGGCTGGAGTCGGAGAGATGAGAGCTGGAGCCGGAAAGTTGAGAGCTAAAATGGGGAAGATGGGAGCTGGAATTGGGAAATCAGGATCCCGAAACGGCGCCGGAACGATGCGAAGTGAAATCGGGAAGACGGGTGCTGGAATCGGAGAAACGGGCGCCGGAATCGAAAAAATGGCTAAATGAACCCAAAGTCGGAAAGATGGGAACCAGAGTTGGAACATTGGGAACTGGAATCGGAAAGATGGGTGGTGGAGTCGGAAAATTGGGAGCTGGAGTCCGAGAGGGAGGAACTGGGATAGTCGGGATTCCGGATCGGAGCCAGATTCCGGGAGATGCGACTTGAATGCGGACAAGTAGGAGACGGAATCGGAAACACGGGCGCCAGAGTCGGAAAGTTGGAAGCCAGAATCGGGGAAATGAGCACAAGAGTCGGAGAGAAAATTTGGAGCAGAGTCAGATAAAGGGGAACCGAGATTCAAAATGGGGAGCCAAAATCTGAAAAATGGGAACTGGTCCTTCGCGGTGCGGTTGGATGAGTCTGGCGTCTTGGCTCTCTGCTATTCACGTGACACCACTAAAATTCGCCGGCCCAACGGGCCAGAGCCGTGCTAAGATCTCCAGGAACTGCTTTACAGTATTTCTACTTCGCGCGCGCGGGGCGACCCTTGGTTGAGCAGGGACCGACCGTCCCGGCATTTCTATAGGCCTACCACGACATGTTCTTCGAACCCAGCAATTTTCTTATAACAGAAACAATGTTCTTAGAACATAAAGCCGATGATCTAAAACAAGACAGTCCCAGCCAGAAATGCTCTAAGAAAATATCGTGGGAACCACAACCGGTCCTTAGAACATTGTTTGTTAGGCTGACCTGGGGGACCCCATACGAAAAATACCCTGGCCAGGTCGGATCAGAGATGGTTATCCTTCTGTGCGCTGCCCTTCAGGCACTCCAGAGCGCTCCAGGAGGGCCCCAGCAGGCCCCCGAGATGGTCCGAGAGGGCTCCCAGTCGTCGAACGATCGGTCCAAGACGCCCAACGTGGCCTTCAGATGGCCCCAGACGCCTTTCAGCAACCCCAAGAGGTCACCAAGAGCCCTACCAAAGAGGATCCAAAGAGGCAGAAAGTTATGGATTTCCCTTGGTGCTCCAAAAAGGTTGAGGCGTTCTCGCCTTCTCGTCTTACTGCGATCCAGATCGGCCCAAGAGGCCCCCAAGATCGCCCCAATGCGGCCCAGGATGCCTCCAAGAAGGTCCAAAAACGGCCCCTTACGGCCCGAAGACAGCACAAGAGCCCTCCAAGACAGCCCAAGAGCCCCCCAAGAGAGCTCCAAGAGCGGGCTCTGACGGGGCACCCGAACGGACATTTCGGCTCTCCGCCCCGAGAGGCCCTCGGAAGGCCCCAAGAAGCCCCCAAAAGGCTAGCAAGAGGCAACATAGGCACCAGGAGGTCACAAACATACCACCAAGAGGCCTCCGAGAGGCCTCCCAAGAGACCCCAAGCAGCCTCCCAAACAGGCGCCTTGTCCAAGATCAAGTTTGGCCCAACAATGCCCCAATAATCGATCGAGAGGACTCCTCGTCATCCTCATCCCCCCCTCTTCCTCCTCCTCTTCCTCCTTCTCCTCCTCCTCGTCATCATCTTCCTTCTCGTTCGCCACGAGCATCCCTGACGGTGCTGACCAACACACACACACTCACACACACACATTCACACACAACGGTGGGATGGGTCACAGGCGCTCTTCAATGCGCCCAAGATGCGTCCCATATGCCCAAGATGACTTCCAAGACGAACGCCACTAAGATGGCCGAAGATGCCTCCAAGACAGCCGAAGAGGCCCCAAAGAAGCCTCAAGAACGCTCCAAGATGTCCCCCAAGAGGGCCCACAAAGACAACATTCAGTGACGTTGATTTTGTTCGTCAGTGTTGTTCACCCTATCGCCTTTTCGAGCGCACGAAACTCCAAGACGGCCCCAGGGGCCCCCAAGACCGCCCCAAGACGGCCCAAGAGGCCCCCAAGAAAGTCCCAAGACATCTCGAGACGGCCCCGAAAAGGTCCAAGAGGCGCCACTTATACCCCCAAAACTGCCTCAAGACAGGACCAAAAGGGGGAACACGAATCGACAGTTCGAGCCTTGCGCCCGAAGAGGCTCCCTGGAAGCCCCGAAAACGCTTCCAAGGTGCGCAATATCGGCCAGCGGAATGAGCGAATCAATTACATAATAGCGGGCGGGCGCGTCTTCCAAACCACGCAATGCGTCAACGCCTGCAAGCTTAAGCAATACGTGTATAGAGTCGTGTGGGTTTGGCGTTTCCTGCAAGGCTGTCTTCTCATACTCATCAGGAAATCGCTGGACTGCCTGGCGAAATCGAAAATTCCATCCAACCATCTCCTCCTGTGCCTGTGTCCGCGTCGCCTTGCATCCAACCGCGCGTTCAGATGGGCCCACCATAGAGCCCGAACTGTCCATTCACTTTGCTCCCTGTTGTGAACGGTCACAGTCCGCGCGAGGGGGAAGGCAGAAAACCGCCTTGGCCACCCCCGAATGTCGTTGCCCGAATGCCGTTTGTTCTTCGGACGCCTGGAAATTGCAAGGGGACAGTGGGCACGATGCCCAATAGCAAACGTTGTCCAAAACCGACGGCGGCGACAGTTGGGCAGGCTGCCTCCTGTCTCACATGAACAGTGTCAGCGGCGACACCAGCAACGAGTCCTGTTCAAAATGAAAAAGGAACTGCTGCCGGCCTTCGTACCCATTTTTCCCATATCAATGTCGATCGTACCGAGCTCTTCATCAACTGGAGCTGCAGTCCGCCTTTGCCCCCCCCCCCCATCCTTCCGCATGGCAGAATCGCACTGTGTCGACCCCAGCGCCCCTTCCTGAAACCGTGGCGATCGTCCAACTTTGAAAGATCGGCCCCTTCAGAAACGCCAGATTTGATGGGTCCCATTTTCTACCACCACCACCACTACCAGATGCAGAAGGAGAAAGAGGGGAGGAAAACCTCGTCATCCTCCCTTCTCCCCCGTCCTACATTTGGTAGTATGGTGGTGGAACATGATCGACCCACGAACCCGGAAAAGGAATCTAGAAATGTAAAGCATGGCAACGTTTTCGAAGGCATCTCATTGGGCGACGGGCAAATTCAATGCTGTATCGATCTTGATGTACTATGCCGAAAGCTGCGCTGTGCTGCGCCGTGCTGAATTGCGATATGCCATGCCGCGATGTTCTTTTTTTGTTTTGCCAGATGGGCTCTCAAGAGGCTTCGGAGACCATGGGCCACGATCCGATAATGAATGCCGTGCCACCTCCCCAGTGGCACAGCGGCCAGAGCCGAAGGCCCGCGTTCGGGAGCACCCGCAGACCTCGACCAGGTCCAAGACAACTATCCGTCAGGGAGCACCCATCTACCCCGCGGTGTGCCAGGGGCACGCGGTGGCAGCGCTCCATCAAAAGAGTCGGGATGAC